AGATCGGATGTTACATACCTCATATTCAAGATCTTGAGCGTGCCGTTTCTGAACTTTGTTCTACTGCTTATGCAAAGGATAAAAAGTTGATTGGTGCTTATAACTAAGTGATCCACTTCAAGAAGGTCGTTGATAGGCTTGAACCTCAAGTGTTGGATCTCCAATGTGCGCTGAAGATCAACGAAAGTTTGAAGAAAGAAGTGGATGAGCTGCAACACGTCTGTGTTGGTCTGCTCAAGGAGAACGAGCAACTGAAAGGTGAAAAGGCTGGGCTCAAGGCTTCGCTTGTTTAGAGTCAGGCCGATTTCTACAAGCTGGGTTATGTAAATCATCTCTTTGGTATGTTGTCTGACTTCAAGTTTGTTGGTAAAGACTTTGACAACTTCTATATTTCTCTAGAAGACTTGCTTGCCTTTACTTTTGAGGCCCCTTATTGGTGAAGTAGTCGAAGAGGTTGATGCCCAAGCTAGAGCAGTCGGGGGTGAAACGTAAGATGATGCCTCTGTTGGGAACATTGCGGCTGCTGAAGGTGTAGCGGCTGATTAGTCGTGGGATGTCCAAGCTGTTGAAGGGTAGTCTTATAGGTAGCCTTTAGGATTTTCTTTGTTTTCCTTGTTGCTTTTGTTTTACTCGAACTCATTCGGCCTTTGTTATTTGTTTATCTATTTTGCTAGAAAATTTAATAAACTTGCTTCCTTCGCTTTTCTTCATTTTCACTTCTTTTGTTTATGCCCAACCTTTGACTTTTAAGCCAATGGCATGTGAGCTACTTTTCTATAAGTAGACAGGCACAAACCATGAGTGACATCTAACAACATTTTATGGCTACCTAAATGAATAGAAGTATACGCAAACTAAACATGATACTTCCTTGAACCTTGATTATAGTTACAATGCAGTTTGGTTCTTCAATCATCCATATCTCGCTCAAAATTTATGTGATATGGGATAATGTCAAATCACTTGTAGATAACTTTGATCACCATGATAGCTTGATCAACAAATATTCTGGGTAGAGATTTTTTAGATGGATCTTCAAGTGACTTTGAAGCATATGTCATTCTATTGAACAATTACTAGAAGGCGATAGATTCCTTGTTGTGCATTCATGTATCTCCATACTCATAAATGTGAACTCAAATATCACACTATCGGGCCCTACAAAGCAGTGAGACTTTGGTGTGAAATCGAAGTTCATAATCTATAAATATAAGATAGGAGAAATTAGGTTCCCAACCCTCATTTTGCTACTTCATTGATTAAAACCTTATTCCTTTTCAATTTTTGATCAAGGTCCTTGGGTATTAATTATTAACAGTAGTGCAGAGTAGCACAGAGATGCAAAAAGAGAATAAGATATTAACAGTAGTGCAGAGCACAGAAATGCAGAAAGAGAATGAGAGAGAGAGAGAGAGAGGGGGAGAGAGAGAAAGTAATTGATTACATTGATACTGAATTAATCTTTACAACTATGAGAATACAGTTTATATAGCCATCATGACTAACTTGCAGCCTAAGCTATTTAACTAACTAATTTTGGTAACAACTCTAACAACCTTTTGGATATTGTCAACATCCCCCCTCAATCTCAACTGGGATTGCCCAATTTGAGATTGAAGCAGACCATCCAGCAATCAACTTCTTACAATCACAGAAATCAAGAAACACAACCTTCTTCGGCAATCGGCCTTCAATAAAGAAAGGGAACAAGAACTGCACTCCGACAATCGGCCTTAATGGAGTTGCATATAATAACAACAAACAAATTTTTTTTCTTCAAGAACGTTACTCCGGCTATCGGCCTTTAAGGAGTAACACACAATATCTGAGACAGAAATTTTCACTCCGGCTATCGGCCTTATGGAGGAAACAAAATGCATTCGACACACTCTTGGCAATCGGCCTTTTTCGAGTGCACAAATCTGAACAAATCTGAAGTATACGGCTATCGGCCTTAACACTTCCAAAATTCCCAAGAAAATTCTCACTGAGACATTATCACAAACAGTTGATATGCTAGAAAGAAAATTAGTAATCTAAGACAAAACCTGAGAACTTGAATCTTGAAACCCATAACACAGTGTCCTTACTCCAAATCACTTGCAAACACTTCTTTATCCTTTTCTTTCTCTCTCTTTTGGCTTCTGGGATCAATCGACTTCCAGTTTGAGATTTTGTGCTCCTTCTCCTTCAACTTTTTAACCGGACACGAGTCTGTAGCACTACCATTACGAGCTAACATCTTTTTTTTTTTTTTTTTTGTCCTTGATGCTTTGTGGATAAGTTGGCTGCTCCATTTTCTTCCCTGAATTGGTTGATTCAGGATTCTCCTCTGCAGCACTCAAATTTTCTAGTTTAGTAGCCACTTCAAGATTGTTAGAATCTTTTTGAGCAGGCAACACATGCTCTAATTCTTGTGGAGTATCTGAAGCCGCCAATACTTCTTGCTTATTGGGCCGAACCCATTCGCCATTAACCCAATCTTGATGCAATCTGAGACGTTCTTTCTGAAATTCGATCAAATCCGGAGGGTTTTCAAAGACGACGGTGTACTTGGAATTGTTCTCGACAACCTTCCCTATGACCCCAGTCCAAAAAAAAATCAGAGAAGAAAGATAAAGATCACGGCTTTACTGGTCCTCAAGTGCAATCCAGACGAATCCGACCCGATCATAGAAAACGCACTCGAACATCCAAGCTTGTATGAAAACTCGTTCACCCACAGTGGAAGAGGATCACCAAAGATCAATCCATGGCTCTGATACCATATTAACAGTAGTGCAGAGTAGCACAGAGATGCAGAAAGAGAATAAGATATTAACAGTAGTGCAGAGCATAGAAATGCAGAAAGAGAATGTGAGAGAGAGAGAGAGAGAGAGAGAGAGAGAGAGAAAGTAATTGATTACATTGATACTGAATTAATCTTTACAACTGTGAGAATACAGTTTATATAGCCATCATGACTAACTTGCAGCCTAAGCTATTTAACTAACTAATTTTGGTAACAACTCTAACAACCTTTTGGATATTGTCAACATTAATAACATTATTAATTATTTCAATAATAAAATATTTTTTTTATTTTTAAATATATTCCTTTAGTGTTAAAAATGTTACAATTAGTATATTTATATTTATGGCTAAATTTTTTATCTTATATTTTTATTTTTAATTTGTACCTATTTTTAATTTGCAAACCTTTTTTAATTTGTACTGATTTTCTTTTCAGTTTTAATTTGTACTCATATATTAATTTCTTTTTGTGCCCATATTTTTAAAAATTTTATTTGTATTTGTGCCCATGTGTTTACCGTCACGTGACCAAGGTTCTAAAAAACGCTAAGAGCTAGTTGGGCGGCGGGCAGAGGCCTAGCACCTAGGTGGCTAGGCGGGCGCCTAGGCGGATTTATGTAAATTTATTATATATCTTGTAAATAAGTGCTTATTTACACTTAAAAAAAAAAAAAAAAAAAAAAAAAAAAAAAAACTATACTTGTATGGATGATAGAAAAATGATAAAATGCAAAAATAGAAGTAGAAGAATACACAAAATACATTCATCTAACAATTGAATAAATTTATAGTCAATCCATCGTTTAAAAGTTAATAAGATTGTAAGCATATAAAATGGGCCGGCCCAACCCACCCCACACTTTCTTTTCTTTTTCTCCTCATGTCTTATGCCGCATCAGACATCTTTCTTATATTATAAGACTCCTCGTTTCCATCAACTAATTAAAATAACCATTTCTCCTCATGTCTTCTACCGCATCAGCTTTGTTTCTCTATTATTGTAGTTAACTCTCTCTCTACTTTTTGGTTTTCTCTATTATTGTAGTCACCTCCCTCTCTACTTTTTGGTAAACAATTCTCTCTCTCTCTCTCTCTCTCTCTCTCTCTCTCTCTCTTATTGTAGTCAGCTTTGTTTCCATCGCTTCCTCTCTGTCTTTTGGGCCTTTGGCGCTGCTTCTTCTTCTCTCATATCTCCCATCATCAAACCTCTCCCACCATTTCCAAAAGCTACTTCAAACCCCTAACCTTTAACCCAAAAACCCGAAAGAATTCCAAAAAACCCAACTATCAAGCAACATCAACGCGGCTCCGATGAGGCTCCGACGAGATTTCCAGTCCGCCCTCTTTCTTCCCATTAGATTGCAGCAGAACAGAGAACCGCCAAGGCTCCGACGAGGCCACCTAGACAGTCGCCTACCACCACCTAGACCGCCTAGATAGCGCCTAGGCGGCCGACTAACCCATACCCGATTTTATGAATGATTTGGCATTAATCCCAGCGGCACTCCACCGTCCAGCGCCTAGGCAGCCGCCTAGGGCATTTTTTAGAACATTGCACGTGACATTGTATGATTAGTAAAAGATGGAAAAAAATTATGTATGGTATATTTATGTTTTATGGCTAAACTTTGTATCATATATTTATATTTTTAGTTTGTACCCACTTTTCATTTGCAACCTTTGTTTTAATTTGTAGTATTTTCTTTTTGCCTGCGAACTTGGTATTGCGATTTGTATTAGTAGGATGAAACTGATTTTGGCTTGTAAAGAGAAGGAAATTGTTGATCAAATTCTCTGAAATTCTCTAACCCCATGTAAAGAATTCTCTCACAATTCATGTGAATTATCTGGAAGTTATAATCTAATTCACTCAAAATCTCTCGGAATTCATTTCTTTTTTTCTCTCAAACTCTCTCAAATTCCGTAGATTTAAATTCCCTGAAACTCTCTCAAAATCCTAATTGAATACATCCCTCTAAGAAGAATATATTTGCTCCCCAAATTATACAGTTACGTATAAGTAAAAAAATCTCATTCCCACGTTCTCTACTTTTAATTTACACAATCATATTTAATGTTGCATACTTACTATAATAAAAACAAGCATTACAGCATCTCAACCCTTCCTGATGTTACACACTTGCTATAACAAAAACAAGCCGTAATAGCATTACAGCATCTCAACTCCACTCTCCCTCTTCCCGTGATGAAAACATCAAGAAAAATGCTTTTATTAATGGAATTAATTCATCTACAAAAACCCCACGTCATAAAAAGCAAACAATCCAAAATAGACACTTGGAAATAAACAAGCCAGCTCCCTGGTTCTAGAACTTAGTTGACTTTTCTACAATCAGTCCTAATCTGACCCCTAGAGCCCGTGAGAGGGCTAAGGTTTCCCATCTTTTTGATAGCATTTGCAAAGTCTGCTCTGAAGGTTGCAGGATTGCTCACGTAAGCGTTCACCTGAGAGTCTGTAGACCCACCACTAAAGAGCTGTTGGTCAGAGTGCAATAGGCCCTTTTGGCTCACCAAATTCCTGAAATAAGCATTGTCAAAAGATGTTGGACTTGTGACATCGAGTGGGGAGAGATTGTTATCGCCTCCCCTAGTTGGACAACTTGATTTCAATGATGTTGCGAATGAATTGTTTATGTTTGTTTCGTTGTAAAGACGTGCCCGGAATGATGTGCACTTAGCTTGCCCAATTGTATGAGATCCTAATTATTAAACAACAAAAAACAAAGTAATTAGAGATTGGAGTTGATTATTAACGCTAAATAATAAGTAGAGATGATACAACTTTGAGCAAACCTGAGAGGGCAACTAGCTCCTTGGCAGTGAAGCCTTTGTTTGAGAAAGCAGTAATTAGGCCAGCAAGATTCAATGTGGGAGCGGGTAAGTTGGAATTGGCAGCACTTAGGCTTGCTGTGGTGGAGTCTCTTCTGCCCAATGGCACTGTATATGTAGGTCCACCCAACTGTTTAAACAACACAAATTAAGATTTAACGATCACTAACTATATAGGGAAATCGTTATTAGCATTGTAAACAAATCATCATACAACCTTTCCTTATAATAATTTAAAGGAAAATTGCACTTGAAGAAATGCATGATAATTCTTTTCAGAGCCTCAATAATAGTTGATTATTAGAAGGGTCTTTGACTTACTGCAACAATAGAGTCCCGAGCAGCAACGGTTAAGATGTCAGCACAAGAGACCACTTTGGGGCAGAGACTTTCCAATTGAGATTTAATTGTATTGATTACATCAAATCCCCTCAAAGAATTAGCATTAGGACCTGCTGTTTTCTCTCCTGTGAAATTGGGTGTGTCATCCAGCAGAACCGAAGCATCACATCCCTGCATGCACAATTCACATTTGTTATCCAAACTTGTCAACTTTTTCTGGGAGAAACATGACTCTTTTTTTGTCCTTATCTGTATATGCATATTAACTATTTTTTGGCACTCCGGCAGATAGCTCGGTTGAATGCGTGGTCCGTGAAGAATGAGAAAATGAGAAGTCAAATCAGATTATTGTATGGTTAAAAATTAAAACCGGAATGGAAAAGAAAATAACTTGCGAACAACAAATCAAAAAGTCCAAGATTTTGGCTGTCGATCCGAGTGTTAAAAAGGGTTGTATTTCTCTTACTTTATCTTCCACTTTAAAACTGTAGGTGAAAAAGACAGCAGACAAAAAATGAGACAATTTCATTATACAACTCTTTTCCGACATCTTTTTTCCTCTAAGAAAAAACTGTCCAATTGTCCTTTTGAAACAAATGTCCTAGCTCAAATAAATAAAAGGAAATGGAGTGATTGAGAATTTGTTTAGGATGTGCTATCCACACATCCTATTTTACTTCTCACACATCCTTTGTTAATTTCTGTCCGTTGATCTTTTTCAATTCATCCGATCCGACGGTCGAAAATTAGAAGGGTGTGTGAGAAGTAAAAAAGGGTGTGGATATCACATCCCTTCATTTATAACTATCTTCTTTTTTTTTTTCCTCTTCAACTAGGTAAAAAAAGAATTCACGGAATTATATTTGAAGAATTTATTAACTTCCTTTTTGGTAGGAAAAAACTCTAAAACAAACTCCATCAAATTTGTATTAAAAAATATATGGAATAACGGAAATGTTTTTACCAATATGTTCCATATATAGAGAAAAATGTCAGCGAAGCTTAATTTTTTTTGTCACAACATAACCTAAGCATATACTAAACTATCCATGACATATTACATGTGAACAATTATATATATGTTGTTGTTGATAGGACTCCAAAAAAGCCTCACGCACTCTAACCATGCACAAATATGCGGAAAAAAAACACACTTGAAAAGAGTATAGAATGAATCTACAAAATGTATTTTTTACAGTGTGCCAACAACAATCTATATATACACACGAGCATGCATACATGCATGCAGGTTAAAGATAAGACATATATATGAGTGAAAATCATTAGGCGGAAATTTAAAGGGACGACAGTATGAGAAATGATCACTTGCGTTAACAAAACAATCATGGAAATGAAGACGGAGCAAGGAAGCTCCCATGCGAGCTTCCTTCGACACTGCTGAGTTCACCGCCGATTTAATGGTGGACAGTGCATTAGGACACGATTTTCCATAGAAAGTAGAGGACAACTGAGCAGAAGCTCCAACAAGAAGGAAAAATAATGACAATGAGATTTTAGTGTTTGTGGGAGTGCATGAACCAGTATCATATGAACCCATGACTGATGTCTAACTGGGTTTCTGATAACCAATATAACTAAGAAACAAAGAGAGAAGAAGAAGCTTGCGACTAGTTTCTTGGTTTAATGCAGCATCATGTCCTATGTATTTATAGCCCGTGCCCCGTGGTATAACTGGACTATTGCGTTTTGATAATGCTAGACTTCGAGTCAACTCAAAAATAAATAAAAAAAGAATGTTAATCAACACTTAATTTAAGTAATAATTTAATTATTTAAAATTATATTATTTAATTTACAAAATTTAATTTAAAATTTTGATCTCCTTAACATTATTTATAAAAAAATGTTATGTGAAAAAGTAACTAAGAAAAAAAGAAAAGGAAGGATAGGTGAGGTAAAGGCAGTTTCATGTACGACTGATTAATTATTAGAACCTTTGGATTTGTCTCAACTTAATAAGATATTAAATTGGATTAGTAAGATTAAGACTAATGTTAGTTATTGGTCTAGTCCACGTTTCATAGCCAATGGGCAATGATCATATTGGTTTTCATGGACTTGTCAATGCAATATATATGTGCAGGTCATTTTCACGGTTTAATCCACTTTATTTTCGCCTTTTTTATTTGGAAAAGAAGAAGATCGTAGCTCCTATAACTGATTATAATTTCTGGGTCATTTTCACGGTAAAATCCTTTTTTTTTTTTTTCTCTCTTTTTTTTTAATTTTTTTTTAACGTTGGAAAAAGAGAAGATCGTAGCTCCTCTAATTAATTATAACTTTTTCATTTCATTCAATTTCTCTTTATAGTCCTGATTTAATGTTGATGATTCTTTACTGCGGTCATAGAAAGCAATTATGCATACATACTCTTACAAAGGTAGATCAATGGATGCACAAGGGGATCAAGGTGGTCCCAGGACCACCTAGAGTCGGGAAATATATGTAAAGATCTTCTGAGGATTCTCCGAATATTTTGTACGAGTCCTTTTATACCTACTAAGTGTTTGACAAAATACATGTCAGGCATCTTTCAACATGTTGCTTCGATAACACTCAGTAAATTCTCTCAATATCACTCATTAGATTGTTTTTGCATGTATAGTTAACTATTGAAACGTGCGCGTCATGGTATGATTCACAAGAACACGTTCACCCAGTGTTCGATGAAATGCCTCAGTAAATAAACTGAAAATATTTTGCGAACTTCGTGCTCATTTTTTGTCTAAAAAACTTAAACCTTTTAATACTTAGACCCCCAAAGATTCGAATCCTGGATCCACCACTGCACTCTTGTGAGGGGTTTGACACACATTGAATCCCCTCCTCCTTAACAACTAAATATTTAACCCATTAAACTATCAGAGGCGTAAGCACTATGAGGCCAACATAGGCTTAGGCATACCCTCATTCTTTCAGCCTTTCCAAATAATTAGTATTATACGTTTTTTTTGGATACTTAGTATTATATTTCTTTTAGTTTATACAAAACTCTTAAATTCTATTCACCAATAGTTAAAATAAGAGGTTTCTTTTCTTTTCAATCCCAACAACATTCATCCTAAAACTAAATTTAACATCTTCTTTTATAAATAAATCAATATCTCTTAAAATTAAAACTTAAAGTCTAGTTTACTTTTATCAAAAAATATTCTTTACATTACCAACTGAAGAATATTTAGCTTTGAGCTTTTCCTCCTCTACTTCTTGAAATTTCATATATTTGGTCCTCCAAGTTCCCAACCCACTACAATATTAAGGTTTGTAAATTTCTCTGTCTCTTTAACTTATTACTAAATTTTTATAACTTCATGAATTTTGTTCTCCAAAATCCCAATCCATTCTTTGCATTTATTGTTCGAAAATTCTCAATTCGTCTATATTGACTTGGGATGATAATAGAGAGAGCATCTACTTAACCATATTTTGAGACCACATCACAATATAACTGTTAATAGTTGGACTACTTCCTTAAATCATTAAAGAAGGAACTCAATCAAATCAATTGCCTCAAACAATTTAATTAGCCCACAACTCCAAGCATTTATTATCCTCTCTTGTAAATACTATATATTTATTTTAGTGTTTTTATCACAAATGGTCCCTAAAGTTGTCCCAAGCGCCGAAATTGAAAATGGATCAATGTAATCTTAGAAAATAGGTGTCACAAATTAATGTGATCCTTCTATCACAATTTTGTCAAAAATTCTATTATATGTTGATGTGGCACATAAATGAGATCCACGAGGTTTATGAGTTTTTATCACAAATGGCACTATCGTATGTAAAAAAAAACTATGATGTAATATTCATTTTCATTATACTATTGACACTTATTCATAATGAGAACCATATTTGTAGCTAGTTAGTTAGGATTAATGCTAATAGCATTTAATTATATTGTTGATTAAGCAAAATCATGTCGGCCCCCAACAAAAATCTTATGCTGTGTAGTGGATTTTGTATACGTGTGGCTTGGCTCGTTTTATTTTTTTTTTTTAATTTTTATTCAAAGGTTTAGGAGGGAGCCATGGCCAGGGCATTATATGTACACCAAAGTCAATTATTTACAGACAAAAGCAGTAGCACATTGGCTTTCTGAATAAGGCCAAAGACATATAAACCACATATTCCATCTTCTGGTTAACTTGCACTTTAGACATCTAGAAAATCTTAGTCCTTTGGATTTTTGTGATCAATTCCACTAGCTATAATCACTGCCAGAAATTATTATTCGACCGACAATATTTTTTCGGACGAACAACATTTCGTCAGGCAAATATTCTTTATCTCACGGAATTTAAATGTTTATCAGGTAAAAACGGTCAATGTTTTCGTCACACAAAGTGAACTTCGTTGGGTAACGTTTTTGTGCCAAGAAAAACACTTGGCGTGTAATATGGCATTCTTTGCACAACAAACTATTAGGGTTTCGTCGTGCAAAAGTGTATTTTAGGGTTTAGGGTTTATATTTCGTGTGGCAAACTACGACATTTCGTCGAGTAAAGGTGAGGGACATTATTGGCAATATTTAATTCTTTCGATGATTTTCATAGTTTGCAAAACTAATTTCAACAATCCAATCAACAAACTTGTTTGTCTATACTCCAAGATCGCATACACCAAAAGTCACACAAAAAAAACTAAGGGATTACGTAGTGGGATGGAATCCTTAGAAGGTTACAAACAAAAAATCACAATTTAACAGTTAGTTGAGCCCTGGTTTTGATGATTTTTTAAACTACACTCCTCAACCCTTGAAGAATACACTAGTGAATATCACAAAATCTTACGTTCTACTTAATGGAAGTATGGGATAAGCTCTACGAGTTTGTTGAATCAATTGTTTTAACTGGATACGCATTCTACGAAACTAGTTTCAACAATCAACCATCAAACTTGTTTGTATATATACTCCGATATCGCATACGCCAAAAATCATCAAAAACAAACTTTAGGAGATTAAGTAATGGGACAAAATTCTTTGACGTTTACAAACATATCACCATGATTTAACAGCTATAAGACCTTTGATTTTGATCTTTTCTTTTAAGGACGGTAATTGAGAATTTGAGAGTAAAACCACATAGTGAATTGACCTGGTCATCAAATTCGATGATTTTTAACAGGCGAATGCTTTTATTTCATCGGCAAACATTTAAGCGACTAATTTTACCTAAAAAAATTTTGTTGAGCAAAATTGGAGATGACGAAGCAGTATTTGGTCCGACAAAATGTTTTCGTATGGAAATGTTTTGTGTTTTTTTTTCTTTTTTTTTTTTTTTTTGGGTAGTGAACATTGTTGTTTTGTGAAAATAATATAGTGGTATATGAGTTTTTATAGCTAAGGCAACAGGAGATATTTTGAAATTGTGTTTTAATTAAAATTATGAATGATTTAGCTTAATTTGATATTAATATAATGTAGATTTTGCCTTGACTATTTTTTGGGAGCATTTTTGCTCACCACTATTTTGGTGTATGCTCGCCATACACCTAATCATTTGTTATGTACATGATGTGTTCTTTCGCTTAACCTTGGTTAATTTTTTACAAAATTGGGAAAGTAACATTTAATGTAAAAGTTAATTAACTATAATTATAGTTGAAAGGATACGTGACAAATAATTAGGTATATGATGAGCATATACTATAATTATGATGGTGAGCAAAAATGTTCTCATACTTTTTGGTGCGTGCATGCTAATTTTGTAAGACATAAAAATATCAAAATATTGAATTTCAGTGTCTTGTTGAGTATTTTCCCTTCCCAAAAGAAAAGAACATTTCATGTTGCATTACAACTTGTTATTTGGTTTTCGATTGTTTCACATATGTATGAAATGTATCAAAACTATTCCTCCATGACCTAATTAATTAACACTTCCTCTATAGACTCTTTGTGTAAAGAAAAAAGGCATGCAGGCAACAAGCTTTTGCTGCCCTAGCTTCACCACTCATCACCTACCCTATTACGACACTAATTTGAAGAGTTATCTGAATCTCTTTAATTAATTAGTTTTCAAATGTCCCATGCATAGTTTAATCACCTCTTCCAGGTCCAGTCAAGTCGCATGCATGTTTCGTTTTCTCACGGTATTATTTTGCTTTTTTTTGTTTTTTTAATTTCTTGTTTCTTTTCCTAGAAAGAGTATGTGCTTAGCCTTAGCTTTTTTTAGTGCGCCCATTTGACATTTGCTCAATTTTGATACCAAATAAGCGAGGAAAGAATAAACACGAGCGTGCGTCCATTCGTCGTTTTGAAAGATCCGCACCTTGGACGACCCCACACGCTAATCGCTTTCTATTTAGAATTTGAACACCATGCATGCAAATTATTAATTATACATGTCCCAATAATTAAGCACTCGATTTTGATTAAGCGTAAAGTTCCAATTTTTTTACATTTTTCAACCATCAAAGATTTTCTCTAAGATCCAGGATTATGTTGCATGTATGCATGGTAATTGAGATCATATACGTGTTAAGCTTGCCTAACCATAATTGTTAATTATAATATAATTTTGGTAATTAAGATCCCATAGAATTTTTGAAAGTTGGAGTATACAAACGCAGCAACGTTTGATGTCTGAATTTCTGATGTAAAAACTAGAGGTCTCGGGTTCGAAATCTGCTGCTGGTGTGAAAGTCAGACTTATGACCAGAATGAGACTGAAATGCCTCTGTGAGTCTTCCTGACCCCCGAAAGTTATGGATAACCGTAACTTGTCATCAGTTGTCCCCCTTTAAAATATATATATATATATAAAATAAAAAATAAAAATAAAAAACCTAGATACTATGGTATATTGTTTTACTACTTTGGCTGGTTGACTTGCTTTTCAAGTCTTGCTAGGCGCTAGCTTTCTGTCGGTTCATGAGCACATGTGTTGGAAAATAATCATAATTTGTTGTCAAGTCGAAAGGTGATTAGGGTCTGGTAAGGAGTAGGATTATCTTCCCTTTTTTTTTCCTTTCTTTTTCTTCTTTCTTATTTGAACAGTCACGGTTAAGTCATATCAATATCTTATATTAATTTTTAAAGAAAGAGAAAGAATAGAGAATGTGAGAGGAGGGGATAGAAGGGGATGGAAGGGGATGGAAAAAAGAGGGGAGAGAATCCTAGTCCGTCCGGTAATGACAATGGTTTGCAAATCAAATCTTATTTATCATGTAGCAATCATGCTTAAAACATAATTAAAGATTTTCACAAAGTCGGTAAAGAATAATCAAGGTTTTAATAAGAATAACTATTGGAATTAATTACTACGAAATCAACCATTCTGCAGAAATGAAATTATGCAAAAATCTAGAAGAACAAGAAAGAAGGAAACATACAAAAATGAAGATAAGATAGAGAGAAAGAGAGAGCGGAAAAATCAAGAGAAAACTAAACTTATGTTATTATCTTAATCGTCGCGGTGAATTAAAAGGGGTTGTGGCAATGCCTGGTCCAAGTCTTGTCTGTTGTGGCGATCGAATTATATGCGTTGAAGTTGGGGTTAGAGTTGGCGATTGATGCAAACCACAATCGCCAACCTGCTTCCCCTTGTTGTAGAATCTGATTCGCAAGTGGTTGTCCAGTTGATTTTACAGGAAGAGGAGTGTTTGACGGGGACAGGAAATATGTGGAGGAGGTGCTGCAAATTATACATGGTTGTCATTAATTTGTGTTAACCTTTGTTTATTTTTTTATGGTTTTGGATCGGTTTCTTAGGGATAGAATAGCAGAGAATTGAGAGGATATTGGAGTGTGTTTTTCAATTTCAAAGGTTGTGCAGAAAATGCAGCAGCCTTACTTCATTAAGTAGAAAAAAAGATGTAAGGGTATGGTACATTTCCATTACCCATACTTGTGTAAAAGAGTTGGTGATTAGATAATATTAAACACTAAAATTACCTTACTACTCCAGATTAAATCTTAGCCCTTCATTGGGATTTAAGTGATCTAATCTGCAGTGTACATTTGTCACTCACACAATTAAACAAAAAACTAGCCGTTGGAGGCCAACCCTTCATTTCTTCTTCTTCCTTCTTCGACGCAGACAACACCCTTCGCTCAGGAGCACTTTGCTGCCTTCGACCCCTCGACTCCAGGAGCTAGTTAGCTTCCAACACTCCCTTCTAAACTGCTTCTAGGAGTCATTCCGAGCAAACCCCTCAAGTAATTGAATCTCTCCTTAAGTAATGCTTTTGTGAATATGTCTGCGATCTGATCTTCTATGCTGCAATAGATTAGTTTGATTGTATTGTCCTACAATGCTTCTCTGATGAAATAATACCTTCTCTTGATGTGCTTTGTTCTTTGATGAAAAACTAGGTTTTTGGTCATGGCTGCAGAGGTGTTGTCACACAAGAGTGGTGTGGCATTAACCTGTAATTCGCCAAAATCTTTGAGTATAAACCTTAGCCAAATAGCTTGAGCCGTTGCTTCTGATGCACTCACGTATTCCGCTTCGGCTGTGGATAGTGCAACACTTTGTTGTTTCACAGAGGCCCACGAAAACACCCCTGAACCAAAGGTGAAAGTGTAGCCCGATGTGCTTCTACTATCATCTTCACTGCCACCCCAGTCACTGTCACAAAATCCAATTAGGATAGTTGACTTCCCCATTTCATACTTGATTCGATAATCTAGTGTTCCTTGCACATATCTCAACACTCTCTTATCTGTGCCCAGATGTATCTTGCTAGGATTCTGCATAAACCTAGAAAGTAGGCTTGCTAAGAACATTAGATCTAGCCTTGTTGCAGTTAAGTACAATAGATTGCCAACAATGCTCTTATAAAGATTAGCATCTGCAGATTCACTTCCATCATCATTCTTAAGTTTCTCATTTGCAATTAAAGGTGTAGAGACCGGTTTGCAACCCTTCAAACCAAACTTTTCAAGCAAGGTTTCAGCATATTTCCTTTGATGAATGAAAATGCTGTTTGCCTCTTGAATTACCCCGATGCCAAGAAAATGATGCAAGAGGCCTAGATTAGTCATTTCATACCTCTTCATCATTTCTTCTTTAAACTCTTCAATCATTGTAGCATCATTTCCAGTGTAGACAACATCATCCACATAGATTGAGACAATGAGTGTCTTGTTGTTACTTTCTGTCTTGGTGTAGAGTGTAGCTTCACTAGGACTTTTCTGAAACCCTTTTTAAGTGAAATATGAATCAATCTCATTGTACCAAGCTCTTGGAGCTTGCTTCAGGCCATATAGTGCCTTCCTTAGCTTGTACACTTTCTCTAGAAATGCTTCACTTGTGAACCCTTACGGTTGTTCCACAAACACACCCTCCTCTAGCACTCCATTTAGAAATGCAGATTTGACATCCAATTGATGTAACTTCCAACCATTCTTGGCTGCTAGGGCTATCAAAGTCCTTATGGTGTCTAACCTTGCTATTGGAGTAAAGGTTTCATTGAAGTCTACACCTAGTTTCTGTGAGTAACCTTTGGCCACCAACCTGGCCTTGTTCTTTTGCACAAAACCATCTAAGTTGAGTTTCGTTTTGTACACCCATTTCACTCCAATCACAGGCTTGTCACTTGGTCGATTTACAAGTTCCTAAGTGTCATTCTTCTCTATCATTTCAAGCTTTTCCTTCATTGCTTTCTTCCAAGCTTTGTCTTTCTCAGCTTCTTCATATGTTTCTGGTTCTACTACACAGTAATTACATGTAGCATAAATCTCATCTAGGTTTCTTAATCTCACTGGAGTTGAACTTGGAGTAGTTATCTGTGATTGACTTGATTGTGGACTCATACTAGCTTGCTGTGTAGTCCCTTGTATGTCACCATTATCTATGACTTTTTCTGGAACTAAGGTCTCCATAGGCTCCCTTATTTGCCTTTCATTGAGATTAAGTTGTAGGGAGACACTGTCCTTCTCTTCTACTCTTGTTTCCCAGTTCCATGTTGAGTCTTCATCAAAGATAACATCCCTTGATAGGATTATCTTCTGAGTTGATAAATTGTAAACTCCGTACCCTTTCTCACTGGTTCCATAGCCTACAAAAACACCCTTGGTACTTGATTTCTCCAACTTGTGCCTTAGTTGGTGAGGGATGAGAGTGTAACACACTGAGCCAAACACTCTCAGGTGCTTCACAGAGGGCTTCCTTCCGCTGAACACTTCAAATAGTGTCTTCTTATCCAGTGCTTTAGTAGGACACCTATTCAATAGGCACATTGAGGTGTTCACAGCTTCACCCCAAAATGTATAAGGCATGTTTTTCTCATGCATCATAGACATAGCCATTTCGACTATAGTCCTATTCTTCCTTTCTGCAATCCCATTCTATTGTGGTGAATATGCCACAGTGAGTTGCTTCTCCAACCCCACATCTTCACAGAATGCATTAAACTCATGTAAGGTGTACTCACCTCCCCTATCACTTCTTAGTCTTTTGATTTGGTATCCACTTTGTAATTCCACCATTGCCTTGAACTTCTTAAATATTATGAATACCTTTGACTTGAACTTCTTGGTGTTGATAACCAGAGTTCCTCTTCTAGTGGCTTTGACAATGTTTCCATTTCCCATTTTCACTTTTCCAATGAAATTTGTGTCAATGTTAATGAGTAATGACTCATGTGCAGTCTTGTGGTTGCTGGAACCACTGTCAATGTACCACACTTCATTGTTTTTCTTCATTTTTGCACTGAAGGCACATAACACATTTGCTTCTTCCTTCACTTAATTTGTGCAGTTTACTTGCTGCACATTCTTTGATCTGCAGTCCTTCATAATGTGCCCAAACCTGTTGCATTTGTGGCACCTAGGCTTGTCTTTGAACCAACACTCTCCAAGATGAAATTTATCACAATGTTTGCATTGTTGTTTGGTTCTTGGACCTACATTAATGTTGCTGGCTTGGTTAGGTCTAGAGTTGTGATACCCTTTTCCTTCCCATTTCTTGTTCTTGCCCTTCCACTGTGGTTTCTGGTTGCTTGCACTGGCTTAACTACTAGATCCAACATTGAGTGATTGAAAAGCTTTCTCAAGTGCAAAATTAGCATGCCTCTCGAGTCTTTGGTCAAAAGCTCTTAAGGATGCCATCACATCTTGCACACTGAGAGTTTCAGTGTCTTTGGTTTCTTCAATAACACTTACTATTGAATCATAGGGTTTAATCAAACTAATCAACAGTTTCTGGACAATTCTTTCATTAGGCAGTTCCTCACCATATGTTTTCATCTTGTTTACAACATCAAACAGCCTAGTGAAGTAGTCTTTTAACAACTCATTTTCCCTCATTCTTGTATACTCGAAATCTCTTCTAGGGGACTGAAGTTTTACCTTTCTGACTTTAGTGTCTCCTCTGTACTCTTGTTGTAAACCTTCCCAATCTCCCTTAGCAGTCTCTTCATTTGCTATCCTCAGGAAAATGGTGTCTGAGACAGCACCTTGAATGATTCCAAGTGCTCTAGCATCCTCCATCCAATTCTGTTTCAGTGTTTTGAGTTGTGTTTCTGTGAGATCTTTCTCTAGAGCATCGATCTCCATCTCAGGTAGTTCATACCCGTGTTTAACCATATCCCATAGATCATAGGATTTGAAAATGGTTGTCATTCTTATTCTCCAAAAATCATAATTCTCCCTATCAAAGACTGGAGCTTTTAGCTCACTGCTATTGCTGGATCCCATCATTATTAGAATTGTTTGTTGGTTGTTGTTGTTGAGGGAACTTCGTTGGTGCTCCCAAAAATCTTAACTTGCACAAATTACGCCCAGAAGGTTTTTCAAATCAGAAACTAAGCTCTGATACCATGTTAACCTTTGTTTATTTTTTTATGGTTTTGGATCAGTTTCTTGGGGATAGAATAGCATAGAATTGAGAGGATATTGGAGTGTGTTTTTCAATTTCAAAGGTTGTGTAGAAAATGCAACAGCCTTACTTCATTAAGTAGAAAAAAAGATGTAAAGGTATGGTACATTTCCATCACCCATACTTGTGTAAAAGAGTTGGTGATTAGACAATATTAAACACTAAAATTACCTTACTACTCCAGATTAAATCCTAGCCCTTCATTGGGATTTAAGTGATCTAATCTGGAGTGTACATTTGTCGTTCACACAATTAAACAAAAAACTAGCCGTTGGAGGCCAACCTTTCATTTCTTCTTCTTCCTTCTTCGACGCAGACAACACCCTTTGCTGATGAGCACTTTCCTGCCTTAAACCCCTCGACTCCAGGAGCTGGTTAGCTTCCAACAATTTGGTGTTGCATTCAATTCCAATGGGTGTTAATGGAGTTGCTCATCAGGTTTACTGTTCGCAAGCAAGGGCTATCATTTAGATGGATGTAGGGCCACTGCGGCTAATGGATTGTATCAATATTGAAATCGTAGTAGTTTGAGGTTTGATTCTTGGTTTATGTTGGCATGCCCGGCCTTTTTTTCATTTCTCGGAGTTTTTTCTATGTGGTTTTATCTGGGGAGGTTTTTCCAGAGGTCTTTTCTTTGGGCATGGCCGGTCATCTTCATGTATTTTATTTGGAATGAAATATATCTTTTCCCTTAAAGAAAACAAACTATAGCTGACTTGGAAGCCTTGACACCTCATTACTGACTTATAAGTCAACATAAGTCAATATTCCCCCTCAATCTCAACTAGGTTAACCTAGCTTGAGATTGAAACAATGTCTTACAAATGTAGGACTATGGAGTCTTTTTGTCAACACATCAGCAATTTGATCATCAGTAAATAGATATTTAATATGAAGATCTCCTTGGCGAACCCTTTCTCTCACAAAGTGGTAATCAATATCAAGATGCTTAATTCCTGAATGGTACACCGAATTGGCACTTAGTGCAATAGCTGACATTTAATCATAGTAAATGATGGGAGGACTTGGAAAAAAAAAAAAAAAAAAAAAAACTCCAAATTTTTCAAAATTAATCTCACCTAAGCAACATTTATTGTAATATGTGCTAATGCTTTATACTCTACCTATGTTGAGCTTCTAGAAATAGAATTTTGTTTCTTGGATTGCCATGATATGGGATTGCTGCCAAAGTATACCACATAACAAATTATTGACCTTCTGGTATTCAAGTTTACAGCCTAATCCATTTGGAAGAATCATCGTCAACTGTAGAACGTTGCTTTCATTTTTTCCACGGTCTGCCTTGTTGGAGCCCTTCTCATCGAATTCTTTCTTAAAGTGTCCATGCTTCTTAGTAGAATTTGGTACCTTTGTTGCCAGCTTCTCGTTCTTCCAAAGTGCGTCACATTCTGCTAAGTCAAAAGTCTCAACTAAGGTTTGCTTAGGGGTCATGGTAATATCTATGCGAAGTAGATGATCTACTGGCAATCCTCACTTGAAAGTTTTCCACACAACTATGTCTTCGCAACTGACAATCTTGGCTTAAGTATTCCTTCGTGCAAATGAAGGTATGTTCCTTGAAACTTTTGATAGAACGTGGTTTCAAAGTGTGGAACTAATCCTGTGTTACTCCCTACAAAGTCACGGCTAAGACTTTGCACATCATGGCTTCGTCCTACTTGTGAAATGTCAAAACACTCCGATAGTGCTTCAGGTGACGACCAGGGTCTAAATCTCTCTTGAATAATGGAGAGAATCTTTGGGAAGGTCGTGCCTGCTTGATCTCGTATATGAATGGTGAAACATTCATGGTGTATGCCTGCTTGCGAGCATGCCCTTCAAGTTTTCTTTTGGCTTGAAGTCTCTAAGTCATTCATCGAGTAACCATCGTATTTTTTCTAATTAGATAGGTTGTCTTCCTGCATGTTGCTTCGCTGCTTTATGATTCCAGGAGTGGTCTGCGCTCTACTTCCTGCAAATGATAGACTGAAGAATTGGTGGAACCTGTTTCAGACACACAATCATGATGTTGCTCTCATCTTCCTAGATGGTGTGCTAATCTGATTCTTAGGGCACGCCCCTAGAATTACTCATCAAAATCTACGGTCTCCTTCATTGTCCACTGGATAGTGTCCAAGCTCATGCCTCTACTTCTGATAATGGGAACTATGTCGTTTGCAACTTCTTTTCCTAGCCTTCTGCATAATGGTGATGCATGCTTAAATTCCCTTTTGATTTGGCAGGCCAAGATCAAGATCTCTATCAAGATTATGATGAGTAAGAAGTTAAGTGTGCATCCTCACATGATAATTGAGGTCTGCAACCTGGAAAGAAAGAGCAATCGTATGGGTAGATCTTCAAAGGTTTGCTCTGGCGAGGGTTTACTAGCAAATGTATGATGCAATGCGGGTAGGGCCGCTAGAGGCTGCATTGATATGCCAAAAAAACATAAGGGAGCTAGGGCTTCTTAATCAATGGGCTTAGTTCGCAGGGTCTATTCAACTAAGATTGTCTGCGCAGGCTAGTACGGATCTGTCAGAATCAGCCAAGCCGGTGGTTGAGGCTTGGTAAGAACCTGCTTAACTGACAATGGTTGTTTGGCAGAGAGTGGACGAACCTGCTGGGGCTGTGCCAACGACGGCTGTTGTTGTGGCTCAGTAACTATAATGACGGCACGCGATAGTGGCACAGCAGTAGTTGCGAAAGCAACCATGGTGGCGATTTAGAGACTCAACAAAGTTGCAACAATCTTGTTCCACAGCTAAAGTGGCTCTAATCCTCGAATAAAAGGTGCAGGGGTCGTGATCAACGAAAACTCTAGATTCACATTCTGAGGCGTCAAAGTGACAATCCCAGATTGCAAGGAGTGGCTGTTTTTGTTTTTGCTCATTGATTTGACAAAATTCCACCTACAAGGGAATACACATCGTTAGCCTAATTGACAAACAAAAAGAAAAATGGAGAAGGGTGTCTGCCAGAGCCCTCGATCCTTAAGTCAGAAAAGTAATAAAGAGAAAAATAAAACTTAAGAGTGTTCTGAGTAATACGTGGCGATTAATTTTTCTCTTATTGTCTTGCTTATTTATAGGGAAGAAACCTTAACAAGCAGCTACGAAAGGAAGCTGTAAAGCATACTTGGCAATTCTTGATGATGAGGCCAATCTCCGCAGTTCTACCAGCTAGTAATCTTGAAGGTCCATGTTGGTAAGAGCGCAAGTGTATCAGACATCCAAGGGGAGACTCTAGAAAGTCGTTGCCCTACCACAATTGGACTGGTATGGGCCGATGGAAAGATGTATTATGCGGCCCGAAAAGCCATAATATGTGTCATGGGAGACCCAAAGAACCCATGACCCGCACTAGGCAGCCTAGAGAGCCCATGACTCGCATCATGGGCAGCATGGAGAGCCCATGGTCCGTTAGTGGCATAAAAGCTAAATTACCTTAAGGCAGACAACGTCTTATTCCCTTAGGGTAATTTTGTGGTCTACTCACGACGTCGAAGGCAACATTGTCATATTGAGTATATAGTCCACATGTCCTTCTCTTATTAGATGTGATTATTTTGTGTCTCCACAATGAAGATACTTTATTTACAAGGTGTTAGATATGTGCATTCCCTTAATGAGAGGAATGCATATTTTATTCAGAAGGGATTCGCCTGTTGAAAAGGAATTTTCATTGACAGAAAACAGACAATACACCAAAAAATAAAAACTACTGAAAGAGAGAGCCATGATTGAGGAATTGATCGATCTCAATAGACTTAGAGCGATGTGAGTAGGGGAGGGACGGATGGGGGGGAGAGAGAGAGAGAGAACTGAGTAATTAATCAAACTCAATAGCAGAAATCTGGAGAGAGAAAGTGGCAACTGTGAGAGAAGGAAAGAGCGAGAGGCAAAGAGAAACGACATCAAGAGAGAATAGAGATATGATAGTTAAGGCGTATAATTTTAATTTCTATCCTGGCGTATTCAATATTCGACAAGAAAATAAAAAACTTCCACGGCAAAAACATCGACGGAAAAGCATAAATATTTGCCGTCTAAAGTTATACCCGCGAGTTGACAATTTGAGGAGAAAAATATATTTGTGCCGGCCAATCACTTACTGGCTAAGGTTGTGATTTCGTCAACATAGTTTTTGCACCTTTAACTTCAGTTTCACTGTATTTCTCAAAGGACAAACGCAGAATTTTGCCGGGATAAATGTCCATTCCTGGCAAATTCTAAATTTGCCGGCATAATTTTGCCGAGAAAGCCACTTTTTTTTCTAGTGTTTAAAGGCATGCACATTATGATCAACTATATAGACTGCATCCAAAGTGAATTAGTAAACAAATTTACAGAATCTAACAACTACTCTCATATTCCCTTTGAGATGTTCCCCCACGTACAAGGCCAGTCTTCCAAATTTACAATCATTACGCCCTAACATTTTATTAGTTTTCCCATATTGTTAATTAATTAGTATCTAAATCCTCCAAACTTTTAAACCTATTATTCTCACCTGCATGACATTGCTGCATCGATCCACCCACAAATTTATCATATGGGCAGAAGGACAAACATGCCTTACAACAACTATGAAAGACATGAAAACAAAACACCCCATCGTAATTGAATATACATAGACACACAGTCATCTTCCGTTAAGGGACAACGTTTGGTGCCTATTCTATAACTTTTTCTCAACGATCCGAATCATTTATATTTGATTTATCATTAATAGATCATCTTTGAAAAAATTAAATAAATCCAAAATCTGACATCTAATTGTAATGAAGAAAATACACGAATAAAGTTTTTCCAAAAAACGCTAATAATGGCTACCATTTAATCTAACGGTCGTATAAATACGAATTTCTATAACATAATATTGGTAATAACGATTTTTAAGAGAAGACCTAAAAAATAGACCTTTGATCGCTAAATATATATGTGTGTGTTTCTGTGTGTAAATTATATGTGCAATGTAGCAAATTGTCTTTGATTCGTTCCACTCATTGAAAACAACTTGAGCTACCAACAATTGATCCATTACCCACTTGCCATACACATGTGGGAAAATTTTGGCAGCTAGAATCATCTTTCTTATTGGATTTTTCTACGATCATATATGTACCTAGAAAAATTCTATCCAGAATCTATATGCTTCAGCTTGAATTTGGACCTTTTCAAATTGTTTTTTTCCTTTTGTATTGCATGATATTTTTTCTGATATAAATAACATACTACTTTAAGGGTGGAGAATTTTACACTCAAGGAGAGGGTGGATTGAATTAGGCCGCATAATGGGCTAGTCACTAATTAGGTGTCGAACTGAACACATATGTAAAATATTCTTGCCATCTATAATGTGAGTTGAACTTAAGACTTCTCACTTACAAATAAAAAAATACCACTAAACTTACTAGATTTTTTCTGTAGTGCATGATGAATGATTTAATAAGTTTCACAAATGATATTTTGTTTTTACAAAGGCCTACTTGAGCGCATTGATTATCCGACATTATCTAATATAATTAAGCTAACATTTGTAACTAGATGATTACTTGAACAGTTCATTGGCCCCAGCGGAAGAGGGGAACATAGCTAGGGGATAGGACAAAGAAACAAAGGGGTAGAAAGTGCAGCAAAAGATACAATACGTATGAAATATAGGTCAGTAATCTTGCTCACTACTTGTGCTCCAAGTTTGAATAGCTTGCAAGACTGCTTGTTCCACCGCCTGAGCATCTATGCTATCAGCCCCCTGTTCAGTGCAATGGAAATGCAACATAAGTAAAAAGAATTTGTATAAATTCTAGATGATCTCAAGCAATATACATACCTCGAGTGCCCTCGTTTCGACAAAGTTAAAAAACTGAGTTCTAACTCGCTGATTGAATTTTAAACCATGCAAATACAAAATTTGATGTCATGCCACAATAATTGCGTTAGAGCTAGCGTAGTCGCAATAAGGAATACAGAAGGTGTGGTTAAGACCATGTTTGTACAACTCACACGCGTGATGTTAATTTGTACAATAATATACGTAAAAAGTTAGAGTGCATGACCCATATATACATATATGTATGCTGGCATAATATACACACTAAAAAAATAAAAAATAATAAAGGGCCCAAAGTGAAGGGTTAAGTACAATGGGGCTAAAGTGAACGAGACTAAGGGTTTTTCTATAGTACATTGGTGTATGCACCACTTTTTGGATAGCTAGGTTATGACGGTTGAAATTCAGCCATGCAAATCCTGTCGTCCACTACACCGATACATCTCATACATTATTGCATTGTAAAATTTTTGAGAAATTAAATTTGATAATATAAGTTCTTACTTCTCCAACAGCTTCTAGTTGGAAAGTGTCTGAACAAGAAACCCTAGCATCCAGCACATCGAGGCCCAGTTCCTCAAAGGCTTCGAGAATGGAGACCAGCAAACCCGGGCATTTCTTTTCCGACAACACATGAATTTGGAAACCCTTTTCCAGGGTTTGAACTGTTACCTGCTGGAAATTATAACAGGAAGGACAATTAATCAAATGAACAAGAACTATGTTATGATAAGGTGTCCCAAAGAAAATAAAACAATCTTCAGTAGTTTATTTGAGCAAATATGCACCGCGGGTAATGGATTTCGGGCAATCGAATTCTGGGAAGTTCCAACGCCTTGGCTCAGCATGTCCACTTTGCACTTCAACTCATTGATATATTTGGATGCATCAACAATAATTGAAGTTTTGTTCAGCTGCCAAATCACAGAAATCAGCAACAAATTATGAAAATTTGGACGAAAGATATTGGAATACTTTATATCACTAATAAAATTTGGATATACATATATAGTAACTAATTCTGGCTAAAGTAAGTCATAGCTTATTTTAAGTTAATTACATCACTGGAATTGGTGGCAGCACGAAGTTGCAGCAATTTCTGATACAGAGCTGCTTTCTTTCGTTCCTTAGAACTCATGCTTCTTCACCCCTGCAGTCTCTCTTGATCTTATGATGGATTTGAGGGCTTTTAAAGAGAACAGGGATGTTGCATACTCCGGCCTCAATATTCCCTAGATTTTTCTCCAGTATATTGACGTAATTAACCTTTCTAGTTAACAATTCAATTATTTTGACATATAACAGGGCACATATTTTGTTTTTACAAGCAAAAACCGGGCATTTTTGGTTGGCAGCGCATGTACTGTTGGTGATCATATTTTAGGCAACAGTATCAAGTAGTTACAAATCATGCATGCGTTGTGTGTGATGGGGGGTAAAACAAAATCATGTGATAGAGATAGGAGTGGGGAGAGAATATATAATGATATATATGTTGGACAGGATTATTGTAGTGTCTATGTTGGTCGTATGAGGAAAATAAGAGTCATATTTATGCATGAGCTGTAATTAGCATTTTGAAAAGAGGGTAATTAAACGCAAACACGGGCCTATAGGTAGAAGATGGTAACCTAGTAGAAAGCGTGAGGAGGAAGATTTCGATTCAGTCCATGTTAGAGAGACCACTTATTTGGATTAAAATTTATTATAAACAAATTGACGTGTTTGTTAGATTAGATTATTACGTGTTGATTAACGTGCTTATTTTTTATTGGTGACACATCACACGATTTGCAAATTTGGTCTAAAAACTTAGTCTATCTAACATTACTCTTTGAAAAAAAAATTATCAAAAACTCATTTCTTGTAAAAAATTACATACACATGTATATCTTTTTCATTTTTTATTATCGAATAATTCTCTTCTATGAGATTTGAAGACTACCTCCAACAAAGGTGGATTCTAAAGCTAATTAAATGGCCACTACACCAAATGGCTTACAGTATACACTACAGTAATATAACTTTAGCTTTGTAAGAGTGTTAATATGGATTTGAATCCTCTGTTTGAATGCTAGGGTCTCCTTGAATTTTCTTCTCCATATGCCACCTCATTTAAATAACATCTGATGGTTAGAAAACTAGTATCTTTAATGATCATCAGTTCTTTCTCAAATCAATTTCTTCTAACCTAGGGCTTAGTCTAGTGGAAAGTCAGTTAAGGCTTGAAACTTCAAACCAAGTTCGAACTCCTAGGGATATTTTTATTGGGGCCACCGGCACTGCCTCAACAATACCGTTTCTCATTTGCAATGGGGCTTCATAGGGAATAATAGCTTTTCCCGAGCAACTGTAAGCTGTGGACTTGGGGATAGATCTACCATAAATTAGTCTGAATGAACCAGTAATCCAGTGGTAGCAGCAATGGTGGCATTTCATTATCAAACGACATTGATTTTGATTTTTGATCCAACGATGTTATCTACAGTAAAGGGGTAGAGGAGTGGGCTAAGCCTCACAATGAGCTAGCAATAATGTGGTTCAAATTCATCTTTGGCGAGAATCGAACCTAAGATCTCTCACTTACAAGTGAAAGGGAATACCACTAGAGCGTAGTACTAAGTGACTCAAATGACAGTGATTTAAACTAAAGAAAATGGAGTGATGAGGGCAAGTGAGAGCTAAGGACAAAGGGACGACGGCAATCGAGAGAGAATAAGTACGTACGTGCGGGAGAGAGAAGTGAAGAGAGTGAGTCCCGTGAGTGAAGAGTTTTGGAAGGATTGACAGCTAAACAACATTTGACGCGTCCTTTGCACCTTTTGGATGCCTCACTCACTCTCGTCCTCCCTCCTCATCTCTCTTCTGATCACGCGTAGATTCTCTTCCGATGTATTACTTAACGAATTAGTAACTTTTTCATTTTGAATATTTTTGTTTTTTTTTTAATACTCTCCTTATATCCAGATCGTTTAATTTTTATGCCACTTTCTAAGATCAACTCTGTCAATGACCAACCAATTCTAAAATTTCTTAATCATCTAATAGTAATTCAATAAATAGACAAACCTTGTTATTAACTTAAACACTAAAAGGAGAACCGAGAAAGTAGAACGAGAATGATCGACTGAAAATGTTGATAACTTTCTCATTTGAATATTTTTTTTACGACTCTTTAAATCCGAACTGTCTAATTTCTATCTTCTAAAGATCAACTCTGTCAAAAACCAACCAAAATTCAAATATCTTAATCATCTAAAATTAATTCAATAAATAGACGAACCTTGTTATAAACTTAAGCAATAAATTTTTGACATTGTTAATCAAACAGTTAAACAATTTTGAATTTGGTTTTGTTTTATTTTTTTTATTTTATTTTTTTTGTAGATTTGATATTTGAAGTGTGAACTAGAAAGTAGACGGTTCTAATCATCGTGCAACATTGCGAGATGAAAACGAGAACCAAGAAAGTAGAAGGAAAAAGTCCGACTGAAAAAGTTTGATAGTATCTCCCCTTACTTATTCACCTTAAGTATAGAATATTACTGTCTGAAAATCTCTTTTGCACTTGCCCTGCGCTTGTGGTTTTTTTAAAAAGATTCAATCATTAAAGAATCAAGCTGCAGTACTACAGTTAACAATTTCGACGACTTGAATGTTCTAAATGTTTTTCAAGAACATGCAAATCACAACTAACAGTTTGCTGCATGTAGTACTACTCTTCCCTTCAACTGAACATTAATTAAGGAACAATAAAGCATGAAAACCTATTACTAAGGTATGAAAATTAAACAAAAATTCTCAAAGTTTGATAATCATATATAGCTAGTTAATAAAAGCGATTGAATATTTTGTTACTGGGATAAAAATGGATTTGGATATTTCAAATATATTGCTTCAGAATTGTCTTGCACACAAACAAACAAGCAAGTACCCCTATTCACATGTGTGCCTCTTTAATCATCACAACACAACAATGTACAAAGAACACACAGCAGCTCCGACCTTGTCTCTTTGCCTACTTTCAGTTTCTGTGTTTCTTAGGACGGCCTTTAAGGATCTATCATGCTCTGTAGTCATTATATATACGTGTGTGTGTGTGTGTGTGTCTATATATATATATATATATGCATTTTTTTCTTAAATTGTATCCTATAAGTACAAGATATGGAGCTCAGACGATCGGACTGTGAGATCCCATTTTGGGCGAGATAGCTGGTTGGCACCAATGGACCGATTGTCTCACATTCGGAAAAAATTCAAATATAAATTTGATTTTGTGAGCTATTATTAGGAATAATCCATTTTTTTTAATTATCCTTTTGTTAAGTTTGTGATAAAACTGAAAATTTTAACGAATGCAATATCCTAAACTATAAGATTAACAGGAAAACTGACATTTGAAACCTTGAACTATTATTTCAGTTGATATCGATCCCCGAATTATATTTTTGGTAAATTAACATTCTGAACTATTTGAAATTAACTAATCAACCCCTCACCGTTAGATTTGATGAAATTTCATCCACTCTGCTGTCAGATACTGGTACGACTTAACCCTCAAGAGTGAATCACATGTTGGTTACGTGCTACTATTTAACGGTAGAGTGGAAGAAATTTCATTGAATCTGACAGTGAAGGGTTAATTGACTAATTTCAAATAGTTCAAGGGGTCAATTTCAACTGAAGTAATAGTTTAGTGGGTCAAACGAGAGTTTAATCTTAGATTAATACTTAGAATTAAATTCTTTCGATTCCTATATCACAATTTCATTTATTTATTTATTTTATATACCTACATCATACATTGTTCTAAAAATTCTCACCTAAGCGCTAGGTTGCTGGCCATCGACCCGATTAATCTCTAAGCGTTTGAAAATTAAGAAATGGTGCTTAAACCTGCGTAGTTGCCTAGATCCACTTAGGTCGCGACTCTCATTTAGACAGAAAATAGATAAATTTCATTTTGCATTTTATTTTTCAATAAATTGTAGGAGACTCTTTGAATAATTAGTTGAACACTAAATCTAAAAAACAAACTTGGAATTTTGAACTTGGATCTAACTGCTTTACATATATTTTGATCTAGAGTTCATTATTTAGTATATATACAGTATTATCTCAATCAAACATATCAGTGTATAGTATAGTATAATTACTCTGTAAACACAATATACGTGCTACGCACTAATTTTAGTCAAAAACATATATAAATCCTTGTTGCGGATCCAACGAGATGGTCCCATCATATATTGCATCAATACATTATGCAAAAGAACTTTGTTTCAAGGATAATCAGCATGCAGCACATGCTCTACTACCTTGACTTATGTAATGACATGCTATTTGTTGTTTTCTACACAGAAACTCCAATCTAAACTGGTACAAACTAGATAAAGTGACACATAATTGGACATCATTATTGGTCTTGGAAATTCAACAGCGGTCTTCAATCTCGTTTCAATTTTCCCAACAATCATGCATGTAATTACAAAGTTGTCAGCCAATTTGTGTGTGTGTGTATCTAGTCAAACTTGATATTCCGAAGTTACAAAAAATATATTTATAAAGACCTAATAAAATACTCTACCCTAACATAAAAATGAATCAAATTGCTAACTTGCAAACCTTTTCAACAATCTATGGCCAACATAAGTTGTATTAGTGAACTTATTTTTCAGCCACATGTACTGGTGCTGCATGGGTTTGTTAAACAGCAGAATTGATTGTTTCAAACCACATATTTAAATGCAAGAAGGATGGAACTGTGAAATGATTAGCGGCAGCATATTTACAATATTATTACAACAAAGCTAACAGGATCGATGTATATCTCTCGCGGTCTGTGTGTGTGCACGCCAGCAGATTGTGAGGTGCATTTTAACTGTGAACTAATTTTAAGTTTTACATGAACCGTTGGGAAGAGTACATTTTAAGAAGCATGATTGGATGTCCAATCAGACAATACGGATATTAATACAAATAATGCAAAATTTGGAAATGTATCTCGTGACAAACCCTATTTCTTTCTGGATATAATTTTCTTGCAAATTGAGATTTCAATACCTTGGAAAATTAGTCACTTAATACTACAGTATAGTGGTATTTCTCTTCACTTGTAAGTGAAAGAGGTTTTAGGTACGATTCTCACTAAAGACGAATTTGAACTACATTATTGTTAGCTTATTGTGAGGCTAAACTCACATACTCTTCTTAGTTTAGATAATATTGTTTATTCAATAAAAAAAGGTAAAAAAATAAAAAATAAAAACCTTAGAAAATTAACGGAAGAAAAAACATAGCTAGCTAGCTCA